AAGATACGTGCCTTACTCTGTTAGAAAAATTGTTTCAAAACAAACCATTAGCTCAAGCCGATGAGATTCTCGCGTGAGCGCCAGAACACAGGGATGTCGACCAGGACGCCAGCATGCAACCAGGGGAATGTGGTAGTGGCAGATACGTTTTCGAACAGGAATATTTCTTTCTATGTTACACTGCAGTAGGCGGTACCTTATAGTCAAAATGTTGAAAAGCCGCGAATACAGCGGCCTCTGAAAATCCGAGACGTCAGACAGCAAAACAGTTTCAAAATTCAGTTGGTACTTAGCTGAACTGATTTGATGTACAAGGATATTAAATTGGGGTATGAAATAGTTCGCAACGCATTCCTTCATGCCTCCTTCCCTTATCTGTGCTTTATAAGTACCAAAAGCTCTTGTTCGAGATACTCTAAAAGCTTCAGCCGAATCATTTCAGGTAGTCTACTTCTGCGCGATGTTTCCGTACATCGCACTCTTAGTGTTGCTAATCCGCGCCGTTACTCTGCCAAACGCGCTACACGGCATCGTTTCGTTCCTGCGTCCGGACTTACAGCGACTCCTGGACCCTGTGGTACTGAAAATGGCCAGTAAACTTGATGCTTTAAGCTTGTAGGTGTGGAAAGATGCCGCAACTCAGGTGTTCTACTCGTCTGGGATCGGTTACGGAAGCTTATCCGCATTGGGTAGTTTCAATGATTTTCATCATAACTGCTACAGGTACAAACTGGACACAGCCTTTAACTATTTAATGATCATTTATCGAATTATTTAGAGACAGCATTCTTATATGCGTCATAAACGCAAGCACAAGCTTCACTTGTGGAATCGCTGTGTTTTCTATTTTGGGACATATGGCGGTCTTGATGCGGAAGAACATCCAAGAGGTGGTACAGTCCGGAGTGGGGCTTGTTTTTCTTGCGTATCCCGAGGCGGTTATAACTCTTCCACTGCCACAGCTGTTCAGCTGCCTCTTTTTTGCCATGATAGTCATTCTTGGTCTCGATTCTCAGGTAAGCCCAGACATTGCTTATGTTTGCAGCACAGTGCATGAGAGGTTAGCATCTAATTCGAACTACGAGGTGCCGAGCTCGATTCCCGTGATGGGCAGTCTTTGTCTTTGTTACAAATTCCCTTGAGTAATGCATGTACTTTCTAGCGGCATTCCAACGGTTACAAACCTTCTTTCCGTTTTTTCCTTCCTGATGCTCAGAGTGTCTCAGGCAGCCGAAGAAAGGGTGAAATCACAAATTTATTATAGATGTCACAAGTCATGGTTGCTGAATGTACTGTCATTTTAGAATATGTCATTTTAATCCCGTATAGCAATTTCAGTTGCCATTGTGGAAAGTTTACTGTAATCAAGATTTACTTCAAGCTTATTGAACGCAATATTTGACAAACGTTAAACTCATCTTGGGATGATGACATGAATATAGAAGTTTGGCGTCATAACTGTGTCGTTCTTCCCAAGCGTTGACTAGCGAAGTTTATGGAAGAATGTTGGGTTTTCTACAAACTTTGATACCGTTCATCAGATATCATCCTGAAGCTAATAGGACATCTGATTTCACCGTTGGAAAAACACATGAAAAACATAAAAGTCTATTTTAAACTCTTCCAGTGTTTCGACTATAGTGACTTACGTCGCGAAATGACAATGAGCACAATGCCAAACAGCTGCTGGGTCAGCTGCTGTTTGACCCGACTGATAGAATGATTGGCAGGTCGCTAATTAAGCAATTAATCAAGCTCAACGCCGTGGAAGTGTCAATGGAGTCGACGCATCGATTACAAGTTGCATAACAAGGCTATATGGCTTCAGCATCCAACAGATGTTCACAGTCGAAGATGAAGCTTTGAGGTTGTTTTCGAAGACCGGCTGATTTAAAGCACTTTGAAACAGATTCCTGATGTTCGGAACGAATTTTCTTTTTTTCATTTTGATGGATTGTTGCAGCTGATAAATGTTTTTTCACTTTCTGCAGATAGTCTTGTTTCAGCATGTCTACCGACTTCGATTCCTTATCGGCTGATGATAAAATCAGGATTTTTATTTGATCTTCTGTCTAACAGTTCGTAGACCTTAGAGATGATAGGTTGATAGATTTGATCGCTGATTTGTGATTTTGTTTTGAGTTATAAGATAGATTGAACTTGTGACATTGGCGTAGGGCCGATTAACGCTTGCAGGGTGGAGCTTGATTAATGGCGGTTGGGCGTTCCACCAGTCAAGTCAAACACCAACCGTCTAAGCAGCTGTTTGCCACTGCGTTCGTTCCCTTATGATGACAGATGCTAATTGGTTCGAAACGTTGGAAGAGTTGAAAATGAAGTTTTTCTTATTTTCTTGCTACTGGCCATAGAATCAGAGTACCCATTAGCTGCAGATCACAGTCGGAACACACAACGGTATCGTTGTGCGCCTGAGAAATTGTTTAACTGTGATCCAAATGATCCGTTTATTTTGTTAATGAGTTCGAATACATGTATAGCGATCAGATTTCATCATCCCATCGATTATTTGGAGGTGTTCTGTCTGTCTGTCTGTCTCTCTCGCTCTCGCTCTCTCTGTCTCTCAAACCTTTTCATTCGGTTTCGCGGCCAGAGTATTTTTTCCTAGAAGGAACTCTGTTGAACAGTACAATGAATGTTGCCACTTTAGGCAGGTTGAATTAACTCGACGTATACCGGGTTATTAACCGGATGTCAGGACTGTAACCCTACCATGCTTCGTTTCGCCTCTCAATTCCGTTCTCCGGTCGTTGCTCGCTACACGACGGCAACAAGTACGCTAGATTCTGAAGTGCGAAATATCATTGGTCGATAAATGGAATATTCGTTGCATGGATACAGTGTTGATTACCTGGGACTAAGGCTACAGGATTAATTTCAAACGATTAACTGTTGCAGCTTTCACAAGGTGGATATACCATTTACTTTTTCGATTTTCGTTACTTACCAAAACTTACCGCACATTTTTTGGACATCGAATAACACCGGCGTTCAATACAGGTAGTGCGCAACATTTCTACTGTACTGTGAATTAACTCGTACAAGAAATTCATTTAAATATTTTTAAATATTAATGTAAAAGACTACATGGAAAGTTGTGAAACACTAGAAACAGATGTTTGCTTTGGATTAGCAGCCTCTTCTAAATTCACTTTTTTATTTCAAGTCGAGTTTATAGCTTGTGCAACGAATGTACTCTATCTGTCATATGTATAGCGACCGTCATGTCATTATAAAGAATAAATGTCACAGTGCCTGCATTTCAGTGCATATTTCTTCCTCCGTCTCCTTCTGTTCCTG